ACTCCTCCACCTCCTCCCCACTCCTCCACCTCCTCCTCACTCCCCACTCTCTTCACTCCCCACCTCCTCTTCATTTCCCCACCTCTTCCTTACTCCTCCACCTCCTCCTCACTCCTCCACCTCCTCCTCCCTCTCTTGCATCCTCAGAGTCACAGTTTCCTTCTTGGGAATTTACTCCCTTCCTTCTGATGCTTAGGAATGAGGAGCCAATGGCCCTGGCCCAGACATTGCCTGTGAAGCCTTCCTCTTTCTTCTGAAACCTATAAGAGGGGACCTCCACTCTGCCTCAGGGGCCTTTACTTCTTCAGCCACCACACTGTGCTGATGTCTGTCTGTCTGTCTGTCTGCCTGCATGCCTGTCTATAGTGTTAGCAACTCTTTTAATAAAGCTCTTACCCAAAAGGATACTCCCCTTCAATCCCAAACTTGAAACCTTCTTGAACCAACCTGTCAGAAAGTGCTGTGGCCACCAGGGGAACTCTTGGTAAACAAGTGACCAGGAACACGGAAATCCACTTTCCAGGAGTCCGTGACTCCATCAAGCTTGGCACATGTGCCATCACCCTGTAAAGACTGGATTTTGGAAAACACTGGCTTTTCCCCAACTCTCAGAGTACTGCTTGATTCTCTCAGGAGCCTGAATTTTGAGTAATAACTCAATAGCTTTGTGGCTATTAGGCGTATCCTGTAGCACATACAGAATATGTATATTAGCTTCCAGCCAAAGGACGGGCTGACAGTGCTGTTAGAGACACCGCAATGTTCCCTGCTTCGCTTTAACCACTGACTTCATGTCTCCACTGATGTATTAGCAAAGTGCCTTGATTTATGACTTCCCTTGTTCTGTTACTATAAAAACTTCATCAAACTGTCACCATGTTTGAACATGAAAATTGGGGTGACCTGAATCTGTGCTCCTGGGCCACAGTCACTACTCATATTTGGCCCTAGAATAAGCTCTTATCCCCTTTTGGGTGACAATTGTGTTTTCTGCCAGAAAACCAGAAGGATGAGATGAATCAGGCCTGAGGTGTTCATCCACTGTGTCAGAGCCAGAAGTCCAGCGTTACCTGACCTCTGAGCTCTGTCTCTCCTGGGCCAGGGTCACTCACATTTGGCTCCACAGTAAACCTTGCCTATGAGGTGAGGGCTGTGACTTTGTGCTTACACCTGTGTGCCAGTTAAAGAAACAACTAATACTGAAAAGCAGAGAAAGAGGCATGCCCACATGAAGATGTGGAATACAGTCATCCATGGCCCCCAACGCCATCTTTGGGGAGTATGCAGGAGGTTTATGTATAAATAGAGGACAGGAGACACATATAAATAAGTAGTCCTGTCAAATGTGAGTCCATCAGCATCTGAGCTCCAAAGTCTCCAAATTCCACAGATTCCCCAAATTCCCCAAATTCTCTAACAGTAGTTGTCAGAACTGGGTGTAATCATTTCCTAGAGGAAGAGCTCCTACTCTGGCTGCACCAGGCTGCATCATCTTCCTTCTTCTAGCATAAGATTCCTGGAGTAGTTCCCATTTCTTGGAGTCTATTGCTTTAATAGTCTGATAGCCCAAAGCAGGAGTAGGGGTGTCGCTTTGAATGGCCTCACCCCTTGTCAGTTTGGTTACCTCTGGGAAGTACTTAAAAACACTGTAATAGCATCTACATTAAAAAACAAAACAAAAAAAACTAAATATAAAATAAATAAAGAAACAGGAACGTATTACTCAGGAAAATAGGTTTTCATGGCACTTTACTGTGTTGCTGGTTTTTAGGGAATGTTCTGGTTGTACAGCAGCTTCCTTCAAGAACAAGTCCAGGGGCTCATGGGACTCAGGAAGTAAGCCGGCTTCACATATCTCAAAAGCTGAGACTCAGGTTTTAAGAGGCACCACACCAGCATTGTAGACATAGTAAACATCTGTGGGGGAGGGAGACCAGCATGATGGATGTAGTAGAGACAAGCTTCCTAGGCCTGCCCAGCTGTCTATAAGCTACACTTCCAGGAGTCTCAGCCATGTAGGAGTGGGGTGTGGAGGAGCACCTGCCTTTGAATTTCTCAAGCTTCTGTAGTAACCCCTCACCCACACTCCCATAGTAACCTCAATAAACTCATTGCCTCACCAAAACAGATGCTGGTGTAATTGTTATCTTGGTCTGTTGTGGATCCCCTAGGGTTGGGGGAGAAGATACAGGTTCATACCACCCCAGGAAAATCTCACACAGCAGTACTTCTTTTTAGGGAGTACTCAGTCTTTGGGAGCATATTCAAATACACGGTATAAACAAGCAATATTGGCACAAAACCACAGCCCTCATCTCAAAAGGGAGAAGAGTTTACTCCAGGTCCAAATGTGAGTGACCGTGGCCCAGGAGCAGATTTAGCCCTCTTCACTCAATTCCATGTTCCAGCATGGAAACAGTTTAATGACATTTTTACAGCAACAGAAAAAAGAAAGCCATACATCAAGGTACTTTTCAAGCACGTTAGTGGAGACATGAAGTCCATTGCTAAGGAAAGCCGGGAGGCTCTGCTGGTGGTTCCTTGGGTCCATCACATGACAACCTTAGCTTTCTGATTGGTGGGAAAAAAAGGTCCACTAAGTTAATATGTTAGGAAAAGTATCAGCTCAGGACCCCCAAGATCAAGTTCTCAGCACAAAGGAGATTATTTCTTGCAGAGGGACAGAGGGCACGGAATAAGAGACTAAGATAAGAGGCAGAGGACAGAGAAAGAGGGAGAAAGGGAAGGGAACAAGAGGGAGGGAGGAGGGGTATTTGTCCCCTGGGGATAAAGGACTGCCTCTGGATAGAGAGGAGATAGACAGACAGACAGACAGAGAAAAATGGCAGTTTATACAAGGAAAAGGAAAAACCTTGTATTAGGATGAGGTGTTTAATTTTAATTGGGCATGTTAATTAGGTGAGCCACATGAAGTTTTTGATTGCTGGACTTCAATATGTTGATAGCTGGACCTTTGCAGTCAGCCTTAGGAAGAGGAAGAGGCCAAATAAGGAAACAGACCTTGATGGCTAACTTTAGGAATATAATCTACTGCTTTTTGACAAGGCAGAGGGAATGGGAAAGAAGGGCAAAGTTTGCCAGAGCCATGTTTGCCATGCTCACACTAGCCAGAGCCCCTTCATAATGCATTTCCAAAAGGTTTCACCTGATCCTAACAAGGATGTTAAATCAGATGTAGGCATGGGAAAGGTATGACTAAGTCTGAATTGGGTTCTGGACCTGCAACATTCTAACCTCCCCACAATTTTTGAAATTCTAATCGGTTACTGGACCTGAGAGAAGGTTCACCTGGGTGTGCAACTCCTTTCTAGAAACTTTTGTTCACAGCAACATCCTAGGAAGTTTGTCAGGCTTTTAAAAAAAATCATTATTCATTCACAATTCAGATAAACAAACTCTGTAAGATTCCATCGCCCACTGCTAGGGCTCATGAATAATGAAGGCGCAGACATGTGTTACAGATTGCTTCTCTGGTACATGAAAGATTAATCAATATTATGACAGGGCAGTCAACAAAATGAGGAGCCTAGACTGCTCAGAATGGCTAAGCATATTAATTGCGTTTGAGAGCCTTCAGCCTCGGCCATCTGGAAAACTGTCTGTGATTTAGATGGTGGGACTAAGGACAAAGATCATGTGATCATTCCTGCCAGGACATCAAGATCAGAGATGAAGGAGGAGTGAGTTTGTGAGTGTGTGTGTGTGTTCGCGGACTCACATGCAGAATGCACATGTGTGCATCACAAGTTGATTGTAGGTGAATTCATCAATCCCTACATGTTACTTTTTGAGGCAGTATCTCTCACTAAACATGAACCTCATTGATTGTTTAAACAACAACTCTTTAACTTATTCATATATCAGAAATCTTGATTTGTACTTCTTCTAAAGATCATGCTAAAACTTTGTGACATTAGCTGATTTAGCCTTCCTAACAACTATAAGAGATGGATACAAGTTTGGCCCCCTCCCCTAGGAGAAAACACTCTGAAGCAGAGAGGTTTCATGATTTTCCTCAGGGTCAACAGCCAGGACTATTGAACAAGGTATGAGAACAAGGGAAGATTGTGAAAGATGTCAGTTCTCAGGCTCAAGGGAAGGGAGGGGACACTGAAGCAGGATGTCCTTTTGGGTGACAAGTTTATTAGAAGAATTACGGACGCCATGGACAGACAGCAATATCCCTGAGGAAGTTCAGACCCTAACGCCATAGACAGAGAGACTGCATACCTGGGACTCCAACAAGTGTTCTGGCCCAAGAGGCAGAGTGGAGGTCCTTTCTTATGGGGCTCACACCGCACTGTTGCTTACTCTATAACACAGGTCTGCAGCTGTCCTTGATTCCTAGGCACCAGAGACAGTCCTGTAATTCTGAGAAAAGAGGGGTG